ACACACACACACACACACACACACACACACACAGGGTGACCTGCACCAGTGTGAGCTGACAGATGGGGTGAAGGAGATTAGTCCATATGGACATTTAAGACTTGCTTCATTAGTAACAACATGAGTCTATGACAAAGTCTGAGTTTATGTAAACAGGATGTAGTATTAACAACTGCAGAGCTCAGTGCTGTTTCAGTGTGTAGAGATTCATTTAGACTGAGTGGAGCAGTTAATACCACATTTCAGTACATTGTTGGTTCTTTTCCTATGCTGTCCTGTGCAGTTTGCATTTGTTTTTTTTTAAGCAATAGGGTAAAATAATATTAAGGAAAAGTGTGATAGTTGTTATTACAGTGGTGGAGGAGGCAGATTGCCTTTAATTGTGCACTGCAGAAGGAAGCACAGATGTTTGCACAGGGAGAACGTAATGACTTTGGCAGGAACAGAAGCGTTAAGAGCAACTCTGCACATTTATACACACACACACATAACACATGGCAAAAAATTTCCGTCACGATGAAGACAGTGACCTAAAAAGCAAATACTAATTTTGGTGCAGTACTTTTAATCACAGCTCTTTAAATGTGTGATGAAGAAGCTGAATTCTTCTTGTCTGCAAGAAGTTAACTACATTAATAATTCAACACACACAGTATCTGTGATTGTGGCAAAGTTTAAATAACTAGATTAAAAATAAGTTTCATGGCATTTAAACTTTAAGTAGAACTATAAAAATATGATAACACGTATTCTGACATGTCCTTATTGAACTCATTTGTGGATACATTTGGCTCCTTACATAGAATTAGTAGCATAGAGATTTAGCTTTGACAAGGTAAGTGGAGCTAATAAGAGAGGAGAGGAGGAGAAGAGGAGAGGAAAGGAGACACACACCTCTTTGACGTGTGTGTGGAAGGCAACAGACATGTCCAGCAGGACTTTTCGCTGCTCGACGCGTCGCACAAAGTCCTGGATGCGATCTTCTAGCTGATGGGCAGCCTGGTAAATTTCCTCTGGGTCACACTCTCCAGTCTGAGCGAGCTGCTCTGCTGCCTCCAGCAACTTGTCAGCATTGGTGTAGGTATTCTGTAACATTCAAATGACATTTATTTAAAATGTAGTCCAGGGTGTACCTAGTGTCAGCTGGGATTGGCTCAAGCCCCCTACAACCTTTTGGATGGATGCACCATCTCATACATTTTGCCACAGCTAATTGCTCTTTAGTCTTTGAAAGTAGAGTAAAAGCAGGGTAAGATCATGGGAGTTTCTGTTTTTCTCCACCATTGCCAATGAAAATATAACTCAGGCGCAAATTATGTTCCCGGATGAGGTAATGTGTTAAAGTTTTAGTCACCTTACACAGTAAAAGGCAATGAATAATCATTATGAGTGGCCAGTACACACAATGGAAGGAAAAAACAACCTGCTGGCTAAAAAGCTAACTGTCTGGTAGCGTGTGTTTCCTGCAACGTGTGTTGTTTGCCCTGGAAGTTACAGCAGAGACAGACAAAGACACAGGGACAGAGGATATGACACAAGAAAAAACTCTTGTTATCTTGAATAAAATTGTTGATTTCCCTAGATTTGAACTTTGTTGGAAACATTTTGAATAATGTAAACATACAAAAGTCAATAAAATATTCAACATAGGTCTCGCTGTTTTAGACATTTTGATGAAGAGTTGTCTTTAAGAGCTGTACTGAACAGGACAGTACAGATGTGGACCATTTGATTTGATCACTGTCCTCTAAACTATGCGATATTCAGACTTGCATGTTCTTTCATTGATTTGATGCTCTCACTCTCAGATGCATTATTTGTTAACTCACCTGTGCGACCTCTTCAAAGTCCTCGTGTCTCTTCTGCAGAGCTCTGGCTCTGTGCAGAGACTTCCCGACACCTGTGTGTTTACTGAGGAAGGCCTCGCCATGGTTTTCTATCCAGTCCAGCACCTTGGAAGACACACACGCAAGTAATTTATATTATATTCAAATGATAATCTTTTACATTGAGGATGCAGTACAGATTTTCAAGCAGTAGGGGGTGCCGTTGACTGAAATGGCTGAATTCTAAACACATTAGGGTTACACTCATTTATAGATGACATCTCTCTCTCCACTCCCCCCTTTTCTTTACTCCTTTTCCTCATCTGCAGTCACAAATATAGACAATTTATTTTTGCTAAACAGAAAATTCAGAGCAGCGCAAAGTGTCAACACTTCCGCTGCGGATGAGATTAGCTATCAATCTTTGTACGAAATGTCCTTATTATCTATTAAACAGATGGTTCCATCTGTTTCTGTGTGCGGTAATGAATGGGTTTTTTCATCATGTTCTCAAGGTCTCAGAGGGAGTTATTTTGATGGGACAAACACCTATGAGCATGTGCACAATGCCTGCGACACCAAATGTGACAGTAGATTGCATCACCATGGAAACCACTATCAAGAGAAAAGGGTGATGAAAAAGCGGATGGAAGAGGGGAAAGGAGCAAAGAGATGCGGCAAGAAAGAGAGAGAGAGAGAGAGAGAGAGAGAGAGAGAGAGAGAGGGGGCAGAGAGGCGGAAGAGAGTTCATGCCCAAAGGGTGGAAACGCAGAGACGACAGTATACAGCACCTCAGTAGTGTGGATCTAAGAGCTCTGACAGTCACACAGAAACAGAGATACTCGCTCTGACAACTCAGGAGGAAGTGATACAAGCTTGTGTAGAAGCTGGAGCTG